ATCTTCAAACTTTGAATTTGCATTTATTTTTTACATATTTAGTTTCAAACAAGAGTAAAAGAAATTACTGAAGAGGAGACCAAGATATCAAATTTATTAGCCAGAGAAAATGTCACCAGTGGTTCTTTAAAACAACAAGTTAAAGATCAGGAAAGAAAAGTTACTAATCGCAATAAAATATTAAATGAAGCATTAATGGCATGGCAACTGGATACTATAGATTCTAGTATTTCGGAAATAGGTTCGAATGCTATTACACATTCCAGAACTGAAATGGATATTTTTAAGTTACTATACATTTGAATTGTTTTTAATGTTGTAGAAGTTCTAGCTTTAACCAAAAGATTACGAGAAAAATTCCAAGAGTTAGAACACATTGGAGAGGACAATAGAGCAAGAAGAGCAGGAGAGGAAAAAGAATTACAAAAACAAGTGGACATACTGCGCAATGAATATTCGAAAAGTGAATCCGAAAAAAATATGAAAGAAAGTGAAGTAGTTGCTACGAGAGATGAAATTCATAAAATAAAATTGGAGAAAATACGGGTATATCTCACAACCTGTATCAAATTATTGTTTGATAAGAATGCATATATTAGTATAATACATTTAATTTAATTTTAAGCTTGGAGATGCTGCTAATAACTTAAACACCATAGAATCCAAAATGCAAACGGTAAAAACTAAAATTGAACATTTGAATGAAACATTGAATGTAAATACAGCGAAGGAGGAAGTTACTGGTAAAATAAAATTAAGAGATGAAACCGAAGCGAAGTTGAACGCTGTCGACGAGGAAATAACTTCATTATTAAAACAAAGTTCGTTACAAGCCGAACTGGAATTGCATAATAATTCATTAGTATCGAAGGAAAAGGAATTACAGAAGTTAAAAGATAAATATGAAGAAATTATAAAAAACTTAGTGGATGTCAAAGAACTGACACAAATTAAATTAAAAAATAAAGTAGATACAACTCAAAGAGAATTGGTACTTACAAACTGTTATTAAAATTACACAAACTTCCACAATTTATTTCTATTATTAATAAAATTGATTACATTAATTTTCTAGACAAGCCAAATAGAATCTATTAATCACCAAATTCAAATGGAAGAAATTCGATCTAATACATTACAAACAACAATATCGCATGTTGAGAGTGAGCTTCATAAAAAAAGGAAGGGAATAGAATGTGAGTTAAATGCTATTTTGTAAGTTCGAAATCAATTCATTATCAATGATAAATTTTTCTTTTTCAGCTGACAAAGCACAAGTTTCTTTGTTTTGTAAATATCAAGATTTTGATGAGTCTGTGTTATTGCAATCCAGAAAATTAAAAGATTTACAAGATAAAAGAGGTTTATATGCTCATCAAGGAGTTGCTTATAAGGATTATATAAAACAATTGAAGGAAACAAGTCCTTCTTGCCCTTTATGTCACAGAGGTTTTGAAGAACGCCAAGCTGTTGAGAATTTGTTAAGGGAAATGGAAAACGAAATGGAAAGCCACCCAAACCGTTTAAAAAAATGTGAATCAGAATTGGAAATACAGCAAGAAAAATATGATAAGATGTTGCAGCTGAAACCAGTGATCGAAAAAATAGTACACTTTGAAGAAAATGAGCTGGAAAATTTAATGTAAGTATATTAAAGTTTATTTTCAATGTATTTCTTTTCATCTTGTTTTATTAAATTTATAGTAATGTAATCATAATTTATAGGAATAATTTAGGAAAGTCTAAATCTGAACTAGCAAAATTACAGACGTCTATAACGGAATTAAAAAACGAGAAATCTGATCCCGAAAAGAGATTAACGTTGACCCAAAATATCATGAGTGATATTGTGTTATGGGATAGATGCATTGATGACATAACAAAACATAAACAGACGATTGATAGTTTCAAAACACGCATGATTAATGCAGGTATATAAGTGGTCTTAAATACTTGAAGCTTAATATACAAATTACAACAAATATTTTTTTACATCTAGGCATTAAATCAGAGCGTAGCATTGAAGAAGCTCAAAGAGAAAGGGATGAGTTGAAAACGCTATTGAAAACCATTCGTCGTGATATCGAAAATTTGCAGTCCTCGATAAATACACAGAATGAAAAACTGTATAACGCTCGGGAGGAATTAAACGCATTACATGAAGAACAATTAAAAATACGTGCAGGTGTGCAAGAAGTAAAACAGTTACAAGAGAAACTGGAAACACTATACTCGAAGGAGGTTTTGTTGGGGAAATTGGTGGATGATTTGAAGCAAAAATGTACAGTAGCCGAAGGCAATCTAACTTTAGGAATCGAAAAATTAGAGAAGAAGAAGAAAGAAAATTGGGAGAAACAGGAAATGGATAGAAAAATATTAGCTGAAGGGTTTAGACGTTTATCCGATTTAGAAAAAATACAAGATGATGTCGATGCATTTGTGTACCGTAAAATTCCTGAAGCTTTAGAACATTCCGAAAATAAGATCAAACGTTATGAAATCTCAATTAAGAATTTTCGATCTGAGAAAAGCAAATCTGAAGCAGATATAAACAAACTGAAAGAACAAATCACTCTTCACGAAGTTCTAAAAAGAAATTTATCTGATAATGTACAGTTACGGAGAGAGAGGGAGAAATCTAAAACTTTACAACAAGAATATTCAGATTTAAGAAATGAGTTGATGTCTATAAATTATACTCAAATTATGGAAGAGTTGCAGAACATGTGCGAGCGAGAAGAAGTCCTCCTGAGACAGGTAGATTATTTAAGTTAATTTTAAAGAATTATTTATTCAACAAGGATTGAAATAGAGCATACAACAATATTGCAGATATTTTTTGGTCTTGCTTTTCTTTAATTCTGATAAAAATAATTTACTAAACATTTAACGTTTCCTGTAATGCATTAACTTAATATTGACTGAAACAATTTTTCTTTGTGGATACGTAATATATTTCAAATTCTGTTCAGAGAAACATCTCAATAGGTAACCAAGAGGAATTAGAACTAGTCGTAGAGCAGGGTACAACAGAATTGAAGCAGGACCTATACAAACTAGCACATAAAAGATATAAGAGAAAATGTATAGAGATAACGGTAATGTAACAATACCCTACTTTATAGTATGTTCGTATGACATTGTATGATATTGCTTTAACTTATCTCTCTCTTAAATCAGACTGTAAAACAAACGATATCAACTTTGAAAGTGTACAGTCAAACACTGGACAGAGCTGTCCTAAAATTTCACGAAGACCGTATGGCATCGGTCAACAGAATTATGAAGAGGCTGTGGAAACTTGTATATACTGGTTCCGATACTACTTCCATAGAAATTCGTACGGACGCTACCAAATCTGTAGGTGGTGCAAAAAGATCATACACCTATAAATTGGTTCAAACAAAACATGGTCATGAAATTGATATGAGGGGTCGCTGCAGTGCTGGACAAAGAGTAAAGTATCCTTTAGCAGAAACGTAGTTGCTAAAAACAGTAAATTTGTTCATTTATAGTATGCTGATTTCAGGTTCTAGCCTCTATAATTATAAGACTTGCCTTAGCAGAGACTTTCTGCAAAGATTGCGGAATTCTTGCCTTGGACGAACCAACAACAAATTTAGATCAAGAAAATGCAGACAGTTTAGCAGATGCATTAGCCACGTATGTTGCAATCATTAGTATTAACATCAGTTTAATTGAATACATGAATCGTGAACGTCGTTTTACATTACAGTGTTGTCAAATTACGATCCCAATATCAGAAGAATTTTCAACTGGTCGTAATTAGTCATGATGAAAGGTTTTTGTTCAAATTAGCTGAATTAAGTGAAAATAGAGGTTTCCATCAGCTATTCAGAAAGAGAAAGTATGTGTATGATAAATATTTATGAATAGAAATATCATTTTAAACGTATTTTGTGAATTCCGCAGTGGATACTCGTCAATTAGATACTGTCGACTGAATAACCAAAATTTGGGAGCGAATGATGTTCAAGAACCACTATCGTCTGAAGACGAATGTATGGAAAGCATAGCACAATTGCAAAATAAAGCGGAGGGAAATTCACGCAAAAAATTTTGTAGTGATAGTTTATATCAGAGAAAAAGATCTACTGGACAGACTGATAGCAATGATCATACTGAAGCTACAACCTCGAAGAAGACATATGTTCTGGCTATATAAGACCTGCACTCTACCTCATTCAATGCTATAGTTCTTGTTAAATTTAAAAAACAATCTTAAAAATGTATAAATATGTATTGGTCCTGTTATTGAATGTTATAAAACAAAAATAAATTAATTTTCTTACAAATTAATTGTGAGTTCCCATGTGACAGATGCGGAGCACTTGTCATTCTAAACAACCTCAATCTGTTATAGTACTGTGTTAATAACAATCTAACACTTATCAATAATTTCGCGACATCTACTGATGAAACAATATATGCAATTAACAATACGAATTGTGGGTTCATCTTGTGGATGAAGTAATTCTCCCTTCAATGTTTTCTCATCGCATTTTTTGACACGTTTTATTACTGCTTTCTCGCTGTTCAATTCCAATTCTTTGAATTTAAGAAATTTCGTAATAGTAGAAAATGTTAATGAATCTATTGGAGAATTTTTGAATGAAACGTTGTTATACTGATAAAATCATACATTGATAAGCATTTTCTTTTACTAGTATTTAACTCGTACACCATAGATTTTTAATTAAATTGTATAGAAAATTATAAAAAGAGGCGAAAATTTTCAAGAGTTCATTATTATAAATTATTAAATTATGTACAGTTTGTAGGATTTAAAATAATTGTTGTGAGACTACATTGAAATAATAATTTGTTTTACTAGAGTAGATGTATCAGTTTCCTGGTTTGTCCGAATTTTTGTGCCCCCGGATTAAAAACGTATAGAAAAAGAAGTGTTATATTGTATAAATTAATAATCTATTCTTTTTATTATGTTTACCTATTTACATGTAAGGTTCGGGGAGGGGCATCGCACTTTTCATATGTTAAAATGTAATTAACATTTTGCAATTGATGCTACAGCAGTTCTAAAGCATTTACGTGGTATGTCTTGTCAAAAACCGTAAGAAACTCTTGCTTAAGATTTTCGTATAAATTAATGATTAATGTGATTTACATTGTACAAAACGCAAATTATGTCACAAGAACGTGTTCGTATCTCAGTGCCTAGTGTCCTCTTATATTAATTAGACCGCGTGATCGAAGCTGACCTCATTTTTATTCAGATCAATTGAAAAAGCGTGCATGAAATACAAGCACGGTAATATGGAAAGTATAGAAATACGGGGCATTGACGTATGTAAGGTACAGAAATACGGGGCACGGTATCAAGTGTGAAGTTCTTAGAAGAGCACGAAAATATGGTCAAAAACGCTATTTTTTTATTTCATTAAAAACATTATTTAATTACTAATTTTTATCATGCAAAAAATATGTTATAATAATAATGTAACAATGAATTTTCCAAACCGTTACAAAGGTGTAAGATTGCCAGGGCACGGGCCGCAAAATGTACAATCTAGGGCTGGCGGTGGGGGCCTCCGCCGTCAACGCAAGCTTACGTTCTGCGCAGAATGGAGGTGGCGCGAGGTACAAACTCCAGAATTACGGGCTGCGAACGAACTACAGAAGCAACAACAATCTCCTGTGTTTCACAGGCATCTCTATTTAATAATAGTGGCCCTTTTCAAGGCTTCAAATTCATTCTAGCTTTATTTACACCAGATGTGATAACAATGCGATAATAAAATACCATTTTCTATTTTTCCCAGATCTACAAACTTAATTATATGTATTCATAGTTTCGTTCATAGTTTCGATAAATGCGAAATTATCTGCTGCTTACTAAACTCTATCTCGTGGAGTATAATAATAATTGCTGATCGTCTCGGTCAAGAAGTATTGGGTTATTATATTATTTATTATCATTTTAAATCCTACAAACTGTACATAATTTAATAATTTATAATAATGAACTCTTGAAAATTTTCGCCTCTCTCTTTTTATAATTTTATATACAATTTAATTAAAAATCTATGGTGTACGAGTTAAATACTAGTAAAAGAAAATGCTTATTAATGTATTATTTTATCAGTATAACAACGTTTCATTCAAAAATTCTCCAATAGATTCATTAACATTTTTTACTATTACGAAATTCATTAAATTCAAAGAATTGAACAGCGAGAAAGCAGTAATAAAACGTGTCAAAAAATGCGATGAGAAAACATTGAAGGGAGAATTACTTCGTCCACAAGATGAACCCACAATTCGTATTGTTAATTGCATATATTGTTTCATCAGTAGATGTCGCGAAATTATTGATAAGTGTTAGATTGTCATTAACACAGTACTATAACAGATTGAGGTTGTTTAGAATAACAAGTGCTCCTCATCTGTCACATGGGAATTTTTGTTTTATAACATTCAATAACAGGACCAATACATATTTATACTTTTTTAAGATAATGTTTTTTAAATTTAACAAGGCAATTATAGCATTGAATGAGGTAGAGTGCAGGTCTTATATAGACAGAACATATCTCTTCTTCGAGGTTGTAGCTTCAGTATGATCATTGCTATCAATCTGTCCAGTAGAAGATCTTTTTCTCTGATATAAACTATCACTACAAAATTTTTTGAGTGAATTTCCCTCCGCTTTATTTCGCAATTGTGCTATGCTTTCCATACATTCGTCTTCAGACGATAGTGGTTTTTTTACATCATTCGTTCCCAAATTTTGGTTATTCACTTGGCAGTATCTAATTGACGAGTATCCACTGCGGAATTCATAAAATTGTATTCATAAAATATGTTTAAAATGATATTTCTATTCATAAATATTTATCATACACATACTTTTTCCTTCTGAATAGTCGATGGAAGCCTCTATTTTCACTTAATTCAGCTAATTTGAACAAAAACCTTTCATCATGACTAATTACAACCAGTTGAAAATTCTTCTAATATTGGGATCGTAATTTGACAACACTGTAATGTAAAACGACGTTCACGATTCATGTATTCAATTAAACTGATGTTAATACTAATGATTGCAACATACGTGGCTAATGCATCTGCTAAACTGTCTGCATTTTCTTGATCTAAATTTGTTGTTGGTTCGTCCAAGGCAAGAATTCCGCAATCTTTGCAGAAAGTCTCCGCTAAGGCAAGTCTTATAATTATAGAGGCTAGAACCTGAAATCAGCATTCTATAAATGAACAAATTTACTGTTTTTAGCAACTACGTTTCTGCCAAAGGATACTTTACTCTTTGTCCAGCACTGCAGCGACCCCTCATGTCAATTTCATGACCATGTTTTGTTTGAATCAATTTATAGGTGTATGATCTTTTTGCACCACCTACAGATTTGGTAGCGTCCGTACGAATTTCTATAGACGTAGTATCGGAACCAGTATATACAAGTTTCCAAAGCCTCTTCATAATTCTGTTGACCGATGCCATACGGTCTTCGTGAAATTTTAGGACAGCTCTGTCCAGTGTTTGACTGTACACTTTCAAAGTTGATATCGTTTGTTTTACAGTCTGATTTAAGAGAGAGATAAGTTAAAGCAATATCATACAATGTCATACGAACATACTATAAAGTAGGGTATTGTTACATTACCGTTATCTCTATACATTTTCTCTTATATCTTTTATGTGCTAGTTTGTACAGGTCCTGCTTCAATTCTGTTGTACCCTGCTCTACGACTAGTTCTAATTCCTCTTGGTTACCTATTGAGATGTTTCTCTGAACAGAATTTGAAATATATTACGTATCCACAAAGAAAAATTGTTTCAGTCAATATTAAGTTAATGCATTACAGGAAACGTTAAATGTTTAGTAAATTATTTTTATCAGAATTAAAGAAAAGCAAGACCAAAAAATATCTGCAATATTGTTGTATGCTCTATTTCAATCCTTGTTGAATAAATAATTCTTTAAAATTAACTTAAATAATCTACCTGTCTCAGGAGGACTTCTTCTCGCTCGCACATGTTCTGCAACTCTTCCATAATTTGAGTATAATTTATAGACATCAACTCATTTCTTAAATCTGAATATTCTTGTTGTAAAGTTTTAGATTTCTCCCTCTCTCTCCGTAACTGTACATTATCAGATAAATTTCTTTTTAGAACTTCGTGAAGAGTGATTTGTTCTTTCAGTTTGTTTATATCTGCTTCAGATTTGCTTTTCTCAGATCGAAAATTCTTAATTGAGATTTCATAACGTTTGATCTTATTTTCGGAATGTTCTAAAGCTTCAGGAATTTTACGGTACACAAATGCATCGACATCATCTTGTATTTTTTCTAAATCGGATAAACGTCTAAACCCTTCAGCTAATATTTTTCTATCCATTTCCTGTTTCTTCCAATTTTCTTTCTTCTTCTTCTCTAATTTTTCGATTCCTAAAGTTAGATTGCCTTCGGCTACTGTACATTTTTGCTTCAAATCATCCACCAATTTCCCCAACAAAACCTCCTTCGAGTATAGTGTTTCCAGTTTCTCTTGTAACTGTTTTACTTCTTGCACACCTGCACGTATTTTTAATTGTTCTTCATGTAATGCGTTTAATTCCTCCCGAGCGTTATACAGTTTTTCATTCTGTGTATTTATCGAGGACTGCAAATTTTCGATATCACGACGAATGGTTTTCAATAGCGTTTTCAACTCATCCCTTTCTCTTTGAGCTTCTTCAATGCTACGCTCTGATTTAATACCTAGATGTAAAAAAATATTTGTTGTAATTTGTATATTAAACTTCAATCGTCTGTTTATGTTTTGTTATGTCATCAATGCATCTATCCCATAACACAATATCACTCATGATATTTTGGGTCAACGTTAATCTCTTTTCGGGATCAGATTTCTCGTTTTTTAATTCCGTTATAGACGTCTGTAATTTTGCTAGTTCAGATTTAGACTTTCCTAAATTATTCCTATAAATTATGATTACATTACTATAAATTTAATAAAACAAGATGAAAAGAAATACATTGAAAATAAACTTTAATATACTTACATTAAATTTTCCAGCTCATTTTCTTCAAAGTGTACTATTTTTTCGATCACTGGTTTCAGCTGCAACATCTTATCATATTTTTCTTGCTGTATTTCCAATTCTGTTTCACATTTCTTTAAACGGTTTGGGTGACTTTCCATTTCGTTTTCCATTTTCCTTAACAAATTCTCAACAGCTTGGTGTTCTTCAAAACCTCTGTGACATAAAGGGCAAGAAGGACTTGTTTCCTTCAATTGTTTTGTATAATCCTTATAAGCAACTCCTTGATGAACATATAAACTTCTTTTATCTTGTAAGTCTTTTAGTTGTCTAAATTGCAATAACACGAGTTCATCAAGATCGTGATATTTACAAACCAATGAAACTTTTTGCTTTGTCAGCTGAAATAGGAAAATTTAATAATAAGTTTATTTCGAACTTTTAAAATTGATTTTTAACTTACCTTCTAATTCCTCCTTTTTCATGAAGCTTACTCTCAACGTGCGATACTGTTGTTTGTAATGTATTAAATCGAATTTTTTGCATTTGAATTTGGTATTTAATAGATTCTACTTGGCTTGTAGATGTTTGTGTAGCTTTAATTATAGTTTGCAAGTACCAATTCTCTGTGTGTAGTATCTAATTAATTTTTTAATTTAATTTGTGTCAGTTACTTGATATCTCTTAAGTTTTTTATAGCTTCATCATATTTATCTTTTAACACTTAGCCGACCGACCGTGTAGATCTACCATTTTGACCTGAGGAACGCTTCTTTCTGTATAGAACTTCTTATTTCTATAGAGTACAACATAATTATAATAACATGCACTAATTTTTGAAGTCTTTTATTGCCCATTATTACGGTTCTTTATGTTCGGGATTTCCGAAGGTGCCTCTACCAGCCATAAAATTATTTTATTAGAACACTTAACCGATCGATCGGGTAGATCTACCACTTTGACCTGAGGAACGCTTCTTTCTCTATAGAGCTTCTTATTTCTATAGAATACAACATATAATAAAATGCACACCATCACACCAACACCACACCCATTAGAAATCGAAATGCTACCTACACCCCAGTCTCACAACTTTTTCGGATATATAAGATTCCGCTCAACTTGCAAATATTAGTGTAGAAGCCAAGCTCCTTGCTGTGACTCTCAACAAGTGGTGTGAAACGAAGTATAGAAAAAATATCCCTAAAAATGTCCAGAAACATGAGTGACAATTCAAG